TAAGAAGCCAGGTGTCGCGGCACATGAACACAGAGCGCCATTAAGACACAGTATTACCCAGGCCGAGACTGTCCTCTCCTTAAATCACCCACTCTTTGGCATGACTTTGTCTAAGAGAGAAAAATGACTAAATACCTGCAAAGATGTGTAGCTGTGCTTGTTCTTAGTGAACCCGAAGCGCCGGTCGTGCTGCTCGTTCACATGCCGATGTCGCACCAACAGCATCCTCATGAGCGGCCCCTTGTCGCTCTCCGTAATCAAGTCCTCCTTGAACAACTCTTCCGAGACTCTGTAGGCGATGGCCGGCAGGTCTTTTTCTTCCAGATCCAGAATGCAAACCTGCAATTTCCGAATGGATCAGTCTGGCATCCCTGGCAGGTTTCCCAGTGCGGGGGCGTTGCTTACCCCGTTTTCCAGACATTTTCGCAAATTGAGCAACGAGTGAAAACTGAGCGACGCCACGTGCGGCTTTCCCCATCGGTCCACTCCTTCTTCCACGTCCTCCTCGTACTTGATCCATCTGGCTGTCTCTTTCCACTCCTTTTCAGTTTCGCCCTCGGTTCTGAGCAGCTCACTCAGTTCGACGAAAATCTTTCCAAAACCACAAAGAAATTATACAGCCCGAAAAATCTACAGTATCTACAAATAGTCACTTTGCTTACTGCCTGTCCAGGACTGTGAGTCAATTGCTGATATTCCGCACAGCTCATGATCAACCACAAGAACGGAACAAGCAGCAGCTTGAAATCGTTTTTTGATGAGATTGGCCATCGATGATTATTTTTCCATTAGACCATCATCAGGCGCACAATGAGCAATTATCGACTGACCGGAATGTGAAAAAACGAAATCCGGCGCAATTTGGAAAAATTCCCACTTACAGCGTGCGGACTGTGGTCGTACAGTTTCTTCAAAGATGGATGCAGCTCCACGCCCCGTCCAATATGCATAATGGACGCTTTGTGTCTGCGGAAAGCTCTTGGATCGTCCGATCTGTGACTGTCCAGTTGGTCCCGGTCGGCGCCACGTAGTTCTTCATCTCCCGGCTGGGTGCTAATCTGTTTTCGGAAAATGTAATTTGAATCTTCAACTTCAGGTTCTTTTCAATAGAGTGACGTACTCTGCGCGTTTCCTTCTGGAAGCCTTCTGGAGTGAGGCCGTCCTTGTCTTTGTCATGGTGGTGGTGGTGATGGTGCTTCTTCTTCGCACTGCCCTCGATTGGCAGGGAGAATTTTCGTTGGCCAGTGTAGGCGTGGCGGCTAAAATTTTGGAAAAATTCAATGAAGAATGTTAGTTTGGAGACCTCCCAGGAATGGGACTGTTTGTGACATCCAGAACATGGATTTCGAGAGGTGTCGATCTCAGGCACCCCCAAGACCGGTTTCGAGCCCATTAGCGCTCATCAGCTAAGTTTGGCTGAAGACAGCAACAGCCGAAACATGCCCAGTGGTTCGGCAATGTGTTCTATGTGGTTGCCCAATATTAAAAAATTCGTAACTTCCAATCCAGCTGAAGTAATGACTTGAAACTTCCACCATCTTTTGCAGACACTTGCGCCTGAACATTGCGGAAAAATGATTGAAATCGCAAGAAATCCTGATTTGTTCTGCCTTGTTAAAGGTCGGGCTCAAAATTGAGGTTTCCATGCAACTGCACCATTGAGATGAAAAATTCGTAACTTCCAACCAAAGAGAAATAGCAACCAGAAACTTTCAGGCTCATTAGAAGACACTTAAGCCGTAAACCCCGAAAGATTGCATAGAAATCGCACTGAGTTCTCATTTTTGTCGAGCTGGTAAATGTTGGGCTCAAAATGGACTTTTTCATGCAACTGCACCACTTGCTTCAAAAATTCGTACCTTCCAATCCCCACGAAAGAGCAACTAGAAACTTTTAACTTCCGTAAACGACACTTGGATCTTAAACTCCTGAAAATTTAATAGAAAAAGCCTGAAACTGTCATTTGTGTAGAGGTGGTAAAAGTTGAGCTCAAAATGAGCGTTTTCATGCAACTGCACCATCGCCTCAAAAATTCGTAACTTCCAATTCAGAAGAAATAGAAACTTCTAGGCTCTGTATTAAGCACAAAACACTTGAGCCTTAAACTCCCGAAAGTTTCATAGATATGGCATAAAACACTAATTTTTATCGAGTTGGTAAATATTGGGCTCAAAGTGGATGTTTTCATGCAACTGCACCACTCGCTTCAAAAATTCGTAACTTCCAATCCCCACGAAAGAGCAACTAGAAACTTTTAACTTCCGTGAACGACACTTGGATCTTAAACTCCTGAAAATTTAATAGAAAAGGCGTGAAACTGTCATTTGTGTGGAGGTGGTAAATGTTGAGCTCAAAACGAGCGTTTTCATGCAACTGCACCATCGCCTCAAAAATTCGTAACTTCCAATTCAGAAGAAATAGAAACTTCTAGGCTCTGTAATCAGCACAAAGCACTTGAGCCTTAAACTCCCGAGAGTTTCATAGAAATCGCATTAAAAATTAATTTTTATCGAGTTGGTAAATATTGGGCTCAAAATGGACTTTTTCATGCAACTGCACCACTTGATTCAAAAATTCGTAACTTCCAATCCCCACGAAAGAGCAACTAGAAACTTTTAACTTCCGTAAACGACACTTGGATCTTAAACTCCTGAAAATTTCATAGAAAAGGCGTGAAACTGTCATTTGTGTGGAGGTGGTAAATGTTGAGCTCAAAATGAGCGTTTTCATGCAACTGCACCATCGCCTCAAAAATTCGTAACTTCCAATTCAGAAGAAATAGAAACTTCTAGGCTCTGTATTAAGCACAAAACACTTGAGCCTTAAACTCCCGAAAGTTTCATAGATATGGCATAAAAAACTAATTTTTATCGAGTTGGTAAATGTTGGACTCAAAATGAAAGTTTTTATCCAACTGCACCATCGACTTCAAAACTTCCCAGCGTCACATCCAGACGCAAAATCAATTCCAAACTTTCACATTCCGTCGCATACCCGTGAGCCTGAACAGTGTGAGAAAATTAATGAAATCGCAATCAATCTTGATTTTTTCTGACTTGGTTAATGTTGGGCTCAAAATTGACGTTTTCATGCAACTGCACCATGGGCTTAAAAAATTCGTAACTTCCAACCCCAGAGAAATGGCAACTTCGCGCTTTTACATTCTATAGAAGACACTTGAACCTTAAACTTCCGAAAGTTGCATAAAAATTGTACGAACTTTATTTTTGTAAAGTTGGTAAATGTTAGGATCAAAATGGACGTTTTCATGCAACTGCACCATTGGTTTTAAAAATTCCTAACTTCGAATCCAGAAGAAAAGACGATTCCAAACTTTCAAGTTCAGTTGAACGTACTTGATCCTTAAACTCCTGAATATTGTATAGAAATCGCATAAAATTCTCATTTGTGTCGGATTGCTAAACTTTGGGCTGCAAATGCACGTTTTGGCACAAATGAACCGTCAGTCTTAAAAAATTCGTAATTTCGACTCCAGAAGAAATACCAACTTGAAACCTTCATATTCCGTCCAAAATAATTGAGCCTTAAACTCCTCGCAAATTCATAGAAATCGACCCAAATTCTCATTTCTATCGAGTTAGTAAATATTAGGGTTAAAATGTAGGTTTTCGCACAAGTGCACCATCGGATTTAAAAATCTCTATCTTCCAATGCAGAGAAAGTTGCAACTTCAAACTTTCACATCCAATAGAACATACTTGGACCTTGAAGTTCTACAAATCTCACAGAAATGGCAGTAAATTCTCATTTTTGGCGAGCTGGTTAATATTGGGTTCAAAACACGCGCTTTCGTACAACTACACTATCGGCTCTAAAAATTCCTAACTTTCAGTCCAGACAAAGTAGCACCTTCAAACTTTGATAGTCAGTAAGCGACACCTGCGCCTTGAACTTCTGAAAATTTCATGTAAATCGCACCAAATCCTCATTTTTGTCGAGTTGGTAAACATTGGGCTCAAAATGAGTGATTTTATGAAACCACATCAATTGCACTAAGAAATTGCTAAAAAAAATATAAGCGCAGAGCAAATATTATTTTTAAAATTTTCTAGTGTTTAGAAGATAATTTAGGCTACGAAAATCCTAAAAAGATCGTTGAAATCGCAGGAAAACTTGATTTTTGCCGTCTTAGTAACCGTTGAGCTCAAAATGAACGATTTTATGCAACTGCACTAACTGCTTAGAAAATTCGTAACTTCCAATACAGAACCAGTAATAATTTCAAACTTTCACAATCGATAAAAGATACCTGAGTCTACAACATTGCAAATTTTCATTCGAATCGCAGCAAATTCAGATTTTTGCGCCTGTAGTAAATCCTGAGCTGAAAATGAAAGCTTGCCTGCAACTGCACCATCCGTTTAAAACATTCGCAACTTGCAATCCAGAACAAGTAGTAACTTCAGACCTTCACAGTCTATGTAAGACATTCGACGCTCAAACCTCCAAAAAATTCATTCAAAGCACACGAAATCCTGAATTTTACCGACTGGGTAAATATTGAAATTTTTATGAAAAAAACCATTTTTTTAATTAAAACGAGCTTATTTTTGACAGACCCCTAAGCAATCATACGAAAAAACTTAATGGCAATTACAAAACACAACTCAGCCATCCGCTCGGTATACAGGGTGTTCAATTAAAAAAGCTCGGAAAAGGCCCCTACGCGACTCAGCTAACATTAAGGCCCAGTAGCTGGGCTAAAAATACATGGGTTATTTACATTAATTAAATAAACGTTTCTGAAAAACCCTCCCTATAGAATTCCGGCAAATATAGAAAATGCTTTCGGTGCGTCCTCAAATAATTCCCATTGATAAAGAAGGCCGAGACGAAAGCGACAGGAGAAAATGGTGTAGGCAGATGGGGAAAGGATCTTTCCCTCTGTTTCTGGCCTGTTTGCGGCAATGCTGATGTGAGCTTATAGCAAAATTACAAAAAAAAAACATTTTTACTTGCAGTCGCTAATCTGGATCCACACAGCCAACAAATAGTGATTGAAAAGCGTGAAAATCGCAATTAAGCTTTCAGCAGCTGATTGAACTTTCGCAGCTCAAAGTCTAAGCGGACGATGGCAGAAAATCAAAAATGCTGCGGGAAATTGGGGGATTTTTTTCCGAATTTCCCATCCCCAATGGGAAATTGACAATGTCCGCAACGTGTTGGCAGGGCAAAGTTTCGAAACGTTCAAGTGAATCGATAAAGCGTGAAGAATTCCGGATGGTGGGCATGTTTTCCAGGAAATTTGATTATTTATCGAAAGTTCCCAAATTCACTTTCTCTACTTACGGCTTGCGATAGAAGCGCTCGTTAAAAGGCATGATGGCAAACGGTCACAAAAAACACGCAAAAAACCCCATTCACGTTTAGCCTAATGTTTTCTTTTTAATGGACACCACAACACTACTCGATTAAATCGGTTTTAAAATGACATTACTTAATAATAGTTCAGAAAACTATTCGTTTGGCAGTGAGCGCGGAAAATGCATAAAGTCCTGGCCAAAACTAAATTAGATTGAAAATTAAGACGCGAGAACCGAATTGCGGCACAAGAAAAAGCGAAAATCTCGCGAATTAATTTGCCACTTATAACCATTCTGATCGCGTATTGTTTAACAATTTAATCATTCTAGTTAGGATTGTTCGATGTTGGTGGTGGCTGCTAATTGCAACCTCATACATCGTAGTGTTTCAGCTCACCGTTTCTTCTTGAGTCCGTCCGGATCGAAAGTGTCGCGATGTTCGCTGTTGAGGAACGACACCTTTTTATCGGGCGTATCCGTCTCAAATTCGTCGTCTTTCAGCACATAGTTGCACGGATCAGACACGACGCACTCAGAATCGGAACTTTGATTGCCCTGATCCTCCTCCTCGTCTTCCTCTTGTGACACTGGCGAATTCAATGGTCCGGTTTCTGAGTCCTCGATCTTTGATCGAACGCTGCAAGTAACAATCCCATCAAAATGTCACCAACTGGACGTGATAATCACCTTAATTCAAACGTTTTTAAATTTGTTGGAAATTAGAATTACCTGCTTCCATTTGGAGGATCTGCCATGGACGGAGTCCCGACTGCTGAGTCCTTGGGGGTGTCTGCAGGAGTGGTGAGAGGACTGGAGTCCTGCGAAGTGTTGCGGCGCCTCATGGGTTTTGAGCCCTTTTTTAAGGGCTGGTGGATGTGGTAGCCTTCTTGGCGGTGTTCTGCAACAAGAAAACACTACTGTGAAAACACTCTGATGGCTCCTTTGCAGCCATGGAAGGAAACATGCTCGGTTTTAGCAAGTTTTTCTGCAACTGCACCAATGCTTGAAAAATCCGTAACTTTCAATCCGGAAGTAGCAGCAACTTCAAACTTTCACATTCAGTAGCCGGAAAGTGAACCGTATACCCCGGAAAATTTCATAGAAATCCCAACAAATCCTGATTTTTGCAGGCTTTGAATATTGGGCTCAAAATAATGTTTTCGGACAACTGCACCATCAGCTTTAAAAATTCGTAACTTCCCACACAGAGCCAGTAGCTACTTGAAATTTTCAGAGTCAATAGAAGACGCTTGTGCCTTTAACGTCTGAAGATTTCATAGAAATCAAACCAAACCCTGATTTTTTTCGAGTTTGCGAATACTTGACTGAAAATGAACCTTTTCGTACAACTGCACATCTACTTAAAAAATAGTAACTTCCTATCTAGGCCAAGGAGCTAATTGCAATTTGCAGGGTCAATAGACGACACATGGCCTTTAAGCTCCGAACAATTTCATCAAAATCGCCCTGATTGCTGAATTTTGTCGAGTTGGCAAATCTGCACTTCAAAATAGCGTTTTCGTACAACTGCGTCATCGGCTTTAAAAACTCCTAACTTCCAATCAGGAGCAAACGTCAACTTCAAACTTTGACATTCCATAGAAGACGCTTGCACCTTTAACCTCTGAAAAGTTCACATGAATCACACCAAATCCTGATTTTCACCGACTTTGTAAAAACCGCGCTCAAAATGATCGTTTTTATACAAGTGCACCATCTGATTTAAAATTCGTAACTTCTACTCCGGAATAAGTAGCTACTTGAAATTTTACGAGGTCATAGAAGACACTTGAGCTTTAAACCCCTGGAAATTTCATAGAAATCGCCTCCACTTCCCGATTTTGCCGATTTGGTAAATGCAGGACTCAAAATTAACCTTTTCGGGCAAGTGCACCATCTGATCTAAAAATATTCTAACTGCCATCCAGAACAAGTAACGACTTGAAACTAGCACAGTCTATAGAATAGACTTGAGTTTAAAACGCCAGAAAAGTACATTAGAATGGCACTAAATTTGTCACTTTTGTCGGCTGGGTAAATCTTGGGCTGAACATGAACGATCTCAAGCAGCTGCACCATCTACATAAAAAAATTCCCAACTTTCAATACAAAAACACTAGCGATTTGAAATGTTTACAGTCCATAGATGAGACTTGGGCTAAAAGATACCGAAAACTTTATTAAAATCTCAAGAAATACTCATTTTTTCCAACTTGATAAATGTTGGACTGAAAACTAACGTTTTTGCGCAACTACACAGCTGCTTTAAAAACGCGTAACTTCTAATCCAGAGTAGCTAGCAACTTTAAACTTTTCCACTCCACAGAAGATATTAGGGCCAAAAACTCGCAAAAACTTCATTCAAATTATATCCACATGCGGATTTTTGCGGCCGTGGTAAATGTTGGGCTGAAAATGATCGTTTGCATGCAACTGCACAATCTACATAAAAAATTCGTAATTTTCAACACTGGAAGATTGGAAGCAACTAGAAACTTTGCCAGTGCATCGAAGACGCTTTGGCCAGAAATTGTGAAAAGCTGTATCAAAATAGCGATAAATTCTGATTTTTGCCGACTTGGTGAATGTTGAGGTGAAAATGCCCATTTGCTTGCAACTGCACCAGCAGAAAAAATTGCTAACCTCACCTTCAGTTGACATGCAATTTTTAAACTTTCGCAGTTTACACAAAGCCGTTGGCTCCGAAACTCCAGGAAAGTTCATTAAGATGGCATCAAATTCCGATTTTTGCCGACGTGGTAAATGTTAGGCTCAAATCAAAGGTTTTCAAGCAACTGCAGCATCTGTGCCCGAAAATCTTCCAATCCAGGAAACTATCAGCTTATAAACTTTTGCAGTCCATAGAAAATACTTCAGGTAAACGGCCTAAACTACCAATAATCGCAAAAAATCCTAAGTTTTTCCGAATTGGTAAACGTTGGCCTGAAAATGTCGATTTCATGTACTTGCACTAGTTGCACTAAAAGTTCCTAAGTCCCTATGGCGAGAAGAGGGCTCATTGCAATTTTCACAATTTATAGACAACACCTGGCCCAGAAGTTCAGAAAAACTTGGTTGAAATCAGAGAAAATTATAATTTTGGCCACCTTGGCAAAGATTGGGATGAAAATTAACAGTTCCAAGCAAATGCAGCAGCTGCTTAAAAAATGTCTGACTTCCTTTGCAGAATAAGCATGAACTTGGCACTTTCATGCTATATAGAAAACAAGTGAAGCTCAAAGGTTCAAAGAATTCTTTGAAATCGCCCTACATCCTGATTTTTTCAATTTGTTCAATGTTGGGCTGGAGATGGATGTTGTCGCGCAACTGCACCCGCTGCTTTAAAAATTCCTAACTGAATCCTGAACTGGTAGTAACTTGAAACTTTTACTGCCTATAAAACACACTTGAGCCTGAAGGACTGTAAAAACTTATTGAAGTGACAACAAATCCTAATTTTTCTCCGACTTTTTAGCAAACAGTGGACAAACATGAACGGTTTCACACACCTGCACCACCTGCCTTAAAAAAT